CCCCAAAACCCCAAAACCCCACCTTTACAAATAAATCGAATTGGTAAGCAAAATATTGGTTTTGAGAATTAATTTAGATTCTGAGATATTCAACTAAAATAGGGCCAATTTCTCCATACACCGTACGAGAAATATAAAGGATCATAAAATCTAGCGCCTTTTTCAAGCTTATCGATCTCTTCATATTCAGTTTACTCTAGCTTAAAGTCAAATATGTTTATATTTTCTCCAAGCCTCTCTTTTTTAGCAGTCTTTGGTATTATCAAATGCTTTCTATGAACTGCATGCCAGTTTAAGACGATCTATGCAACAGATTTGGAGTACTTTCCAGCTAGATCAACAATTAATTGTTCCTTAAATAAGTTAAGTTCATTATATTCTGGTTTTTTGAATGTCCAGTTAACTGCACTTAAAGGCGCATAAGCTGTGACTTGAATATTAAACTTATTTCTAATGAAATCAACATAGTCTCTTTAGGAAAAGTAGGGGTGCAATTCAATTTGATTGACAGCAGGCCTAATTTTAGCATATGTCAAGATATCTAGCATCATTTGGCATGAGCAATTGCATACTCCAATACTCTTTACTAAACCAATTTCAACAAGATGTTCCATTTATTCCCAGACCTTATGAGCAGGCGTAGGCTATACATAGTTCTCTTAATTATCCCAATCAATATAAGGTGACATCCAATGTACCAAGTAGAGGTCAAGATAGTCAAGCTAAAGTCTCTTTAGTTGTTCTCTACAAGCCTCCTCTACATTATGCTTGTCTTTATCATGATAAAGTTTTGTAGCTATAAAGAGTTCATCTCTCTTAACTCCTTCAAGTATGCATTCCTAAAGGGCTTAACCTATCTTCTCTTCGTTAAAATAAACCTTAGCTGTATCAATATGTCTATAGCCATGTTCAAGTATTGCAGATTTGATCAGTCCTACGATATCATCTCCTTCATCAGCTTTAAATGTACCTAGTCCAACTTAGGGCATTTTATTTCCATCATTCAAGGTTATGAATGGAACAGGTGTCTTAACAATATCTAATGTATTTTACTCCATATCTTTATAATCTTTAATAAAATAATTAAAATAAAATGATAAGTCATTCAATGGTTAAATTCATAAAGCATTTTTGTAAAAATGACTTAAGATCAGTTATATCTCAGTCTATGCAAATACAAAATTCTCCTTTTAGATAGGCAGTATATAGATTTAATTCTACTTAGATTAATAACTAAGGATTGTCACAGTTTTATCTTGATTTGAAAGATGGAGTACATATTGATAAGAGTCCTTTTGATTTAATTAATCAACTGGATAAAAATCACATTGATTTGACTGCTTTTGACTTTATATTTGAGAAATTTGTTAACTTTGAATGGGGAAGTAGTAAAACTAAAAACATACAAATTGTATCGAACAAAGTTTTAGAGTTTATGGAATCATTAGTCAAACTAAACGTAAGACTTTAAAAAGTATAGCTCTTGAAACTTGTTGATGTTTATGAATAGCTTATTCAAGTCACACCACCCTATAGTAGATTCAAAGCTATATACTTGATTTCTTAGCTGGAGGAGAGATCATGCCCTTTAGTTTAAGTTCCTTACTACGACGAACTTCAAGAACTTTATGAGGAAGAATTCAAATTTGCGTTATCAAAATCATTAGATATTCAATCACCACAAGCACTTTTATAAATAGCTCGATCATTATAAAAGGCTAAGTACTTAGACTAGAAACTTCTGAATAATATTTTCTTGATTTTCCGAGTTATCACTTCATATGATTAGTTCTAGGAAATTAGACCATAGGAGATTCATAAAATCAATGAAGCAAGTGAGTTACTCTAGATTTTTACCCATTTTAGCATTGAGAATAAAATCTTATCATAAGATATAAAAGCTCTTATACCAAAGCTCCTGGAATTGAAAGATTTAGAGGATATTTAGGTGTCTAGAATTAAAAAGATATGTTTAAGATATTTGAGATATCAACTCCTATACTTAGATAAAGGCTCTGACAATATTGATTTGATTAAAGAGATCATCAGACATATTTTGCTTTTGAACAAAAAACAACCCAACATAAAGGATTTTAATTAGTTGTATCAGGCGATACTTGTCCTTAAGCCACATATTAAAGGCTTTTAGTAGGGAATAGAGGAAAATCTTCACAATATTTGGAATAATAGCTTTTAAAGTAGCATTGTTTCTAAATTCGAGTAAGATGTATATGATATAGCTAAGAAGATATATCCTGATTGTAAAACTAACACAATTGACAGTTCAGGCTAAGAAGTAGATATAATGATTTTGATTGATTAAATTAACCCTGATGGTATCAATGAAAAGACCCTGAAAATAGCGATTGAAGTTAATGGTGTTTATCATTACTCAAGAAATTCCGAAAACTAGATGGGAAGAGATAAGATTAAAACCAAAATACTAGAAAATTTGGGTTATTTTGTTGTAGATGTACCCTACTATCATTGGTATATTGTAGAGGACGCAAAGAAAGAGGAATTTTTAAGGGATAAAATCAGACTCTCACTTTAGAATCGCTCAAATAATTAATGAATCTCATGATTAATTAAACTTTAATGATTACTACTCAAGTTTGAGAAAATTATTGAATATAGATATCACGGGGTTTTGGGGTTTTGGGGTTTTGGGGTTTTGGGG